CCCCCCCCCCCCCCCGCAAACTACTCCCACCTCTGCTGCTTTGGCAAGCGTGTGTGATTTCCGCCGGGAGGGCGCGGGTTCGAACTCTGCCCCAAAGAAGCCCGGATACTCACTTGATAAAAACCACGCTGACCGACTGCTCCCCGGGGATCTTGAGGTATTCGGATTCCAGCTTAAGAGAGGGGGGGAGGGAAAAAAAATCCCAATTTCAGAGACTTTCGGGGGCAGCACTGTAACCCAGGGGTCTACGACCTTGGCCCCTTTAAGACTTGTGGACTTCAACTCCCAGCATTCCTCAGCCAGCAAAGTTGGCTAAGGAACTCTGGGACTTGAAGTCCACAAGTCTTAAAGGGGCCAAGGTTGGAGACCCCTGACTTAGATGACCCTTCTGGTCTCTTCCAACTCTATCATTCCTGGCTGGCTAAGGAATTCTGGGAGTTGAAGTCCACAAGTCTTTAAGTGGCCCAGGTTGGAGACCCCTGACTTAGATGACCCTTCTGGTCTCTTCCAACTCTATCATTCCTGGCTGGCTAAGGAATTCTGGGAGTTGAAGTCCACAAGTCTTAAAGGGGCCAAGGTTGGAGACCCCTACTCAAACCCAGCCACCCCGGTCAGGTTCTGGACGATGGTTCGGTCTTAGGATCTCTGCTTGGGCTAAGAAGAGGAGGAGGAAGATGGGATCTCTCCCAGCGATCCGTGGGGATTTCACCGACAGGGAGTCTAGCGCCAAGTAAATTTTAAATCTGACGTGTTTTCCGAACTCCGGGCTCTGCTAGGTCTCGGAATTGGTTGCGGGGAATCTGAGCCGGGCTCCCTCTTCTCAGCCTGGCCTACCTCACAAGGTTGCTGTGAGGGATAATAGGCAGGAGGGAGGGAGGAAGAGCCTTCTGCTGCCGGGGGATAGAGGGGACCAGAGGCGTCTTTGATTGAAGAAATTCAGGGCCCCTGCTCCGGAGAGGGAGTCGAGGACAGGGGAAGGGGAGACTCACCGTATCCACGACCGCTTCGGACACCTCCTGGAAGGCCTCCGAGTTGACATCTTCCAAGCGCGGGCTGTACTCGATGGAATGGGTGAAGTTCACCAGTGCCCGGAAGTAGACTGAGGGGAAAAGGGGACGGGTGAGGAAGGCCTGGCCACACCCTCCTCAGGAGTGCCAAGTGTGCAACACACACAAACACACACACACACCCCCCTCCCTTTGCAAGGAAGGGATGAAACCGTGCCGATCAAGCCCCCTTCGCACAACCCCTCTTTGCTAACTTCCTGCCTGCGTGGCCGGAGGAGTCCCTGCCCCGAAGCCCATGATGGTGCCGAGTAGATATTTGGGCGGGATTAAGGGGGCCCGGTTGCTCCCCGAGAGGGAAAAGTCTGGAAAACACCCAGCATCGCGGGGCCGCCTGTCCCTCAGACCCTCTCCTCCTCCTGAGGCAGCTGCGGGGGCACGCAAGCCAGGAACGGAAGGGGCCGAGGTCTTCCACCCCCGGTTTTCACAAGGGCAGCTGGCCGAGAGGCCCCGATTCCAGGCCCAGCTGGACGGCCCGTTTGGCCAAGGCCAGACCCAGCTGTAGGGGTGGAATGAGAGGCTGGCGCGCCATCAGGTGCTGGCGGTCTTGCCGTTGCCTCAGGAGAGCAAACACAGCCGCTGGGCTTACCACGAACAAAGAATCGGGGGGTCGACTTTGGTCAGGCCCCGACCTCACCCCCTTTCCAGAGGGAGAGGAGAGAGGCCAGCCATGGAAGAAGGGCCCCTGGGGTGGGGGGACAGGCCTGGGGGAGAGGTGTCAAAGGACAACCTGGCTGGTCTCCGTACCCAGATCCTGGACGGGAAGGAGGGCATTGTGGAGACACGGGGGCCGGGGTCCCTCAAGCCTGGATAGCCACCGTTCCCGGTTCATGCCGGGTGAAAAATACCACGGAGGGAGGCAGAGAGAAAGAGAGAGAGAGAGCGCCCCAGGCAAATCTTTGCCCCCCCTCCACTCCCACCCGCACATTCTTCCATTCCAGGGTGCCCACCCTTCTCCGTAGCACAAGGGGAGCGGGGGCTGTTGTTTCATCCCTTACTTATAATGGTCCCATTCAGAGCTCGGCTGCCTAAGGTGCCCCCGTGACTTGGCACAGCCGCTCCTCGAGGGCCCCACCCGCCTGAGGAGTCACCCCGAAGGAATGCTGCCTTGCCCCTGCATTTGAAGGCACGGGGGGTGTGTGTGTGTGTGGGAGGGAGGGGGGGGGGGGGGGGGGGGGGCTTTGCAGCCTCCTGCAGGCAAGCAGTCCAGACAGAACGGGCCAGGCGGCGCCCTGGGCCCTACTTCTTGACCACTGCACAACCTCTGCAAACCAGCCACGCGGCTTTTCGGAAGGAGGTAACGCTTCCTCGGACCGGCCTGCGGAGGTGCTCACGGCCCCCGCCTCCCCGCCCGATGCTCCGAAAAGTTGGCAAAACTCTTTTTGGGTTTCGGGAGAAAAAGAGCTGAAAACTCGACTGCTTCCCACGAGCTCTTTTGGGGGAGGAGGGCTGCGGCGCTCCTTCTCCCCTAGGGGGTGTGTGTGGGGTTAGCACATCTGGACGGCCAGATGTGGAAGAAGGCGGTGGGAGAGAGAGAGAGAGAGAGAGAGAGAGAGAGAGAGAGAGAGAGAGAGAGAGAGAGAAAGGAAGGAAGTGTCAGCCACCAACCCCAGGCCACTGGCAAGTTGCAAAAGAGCTGGGTGAGTCAGAGCCCCCAAGCGAGGGGGAAAGAGGGCACGGCCCCCCCCTGATCCAGAGGAAGCCAGCAAGGTTGGCTTGCCGGGTGCGGGCCGTGGCCCCTCCCTCCCTCCCCACACCAGTCCTTCTGCAGGGGGGGGGGGGGGAAAAAAAAAAAATGAAGTGCTGGAGCTTTGCCTCCTTTTAAGGCAAAGGTAGAGCCCCGTTTGCCGCTGCGAAGAAGGAGGACAAGGCGGAAAAGGGCTCGGGGCTGAGTCAGCTTCCCCTGGACACGTTCGGAGGCCCTGGGCCTTGGAGGGAAGCTGCTCTGTGTGTGTGTGTGTGTGTGTGTGTGTGTGTGTGTGTGTGTGTGTAGGAAAGCAGAGAACAACACCAGGGGACTGAGGAGCAGGGGGGGGAGTATTTTGCCTGAGATAGGGCCAGGCAGTGCCTGAGCCCTGTTTCTTGCCCGCTGCACACCTCTGCAACCGGCGACGCGGCTTTCAAGCTCACGGCCCCAGAAATGTCACTTGGGGGGCCGGCTCAGTTGGGCAAAGTTCTTCCCTGCACCCCTTGCGAAGGAGGGCAGCCTCAATGCTCAGCGGCCAAACCTATACGGGCCCCGTTCCCAGGAGACCCTCCTCCCCCCTACGCTCACTCCACCCCATCAGGCTGGATGATCAAATCCAAACCGAGTTCACGATCCCATGCAAAGCCGAGCTGAGCCGAAAGCCAGTTGCTGACCCCCCACTCCCCTGGCCAGCTCCCAAGGAGCTCTGAGGGCGGGGTGTGGAGGAGGCGAGGAAGAGATGGATAGGGGTCAGCCCTGGACTTTCCTGGTTGCTTGGCCAATGGAGGCGGGCGGGGGAGGGGGAGTTGAAGGGGGCGTGTGGCCCATCTCTCCCGGGGGCGAGGCCCGTCCCGTCCAGGGCCCCAACTCTGGATTCCCTACTCAGACCGGGATATCCTATAAGCCCGAGAGGACCGGCCACTTACTGAGTGGAGTCTCATCGTCCGACTCGGGGGCAGCCATGTTGGCGGGCGCAGGGGGCCTCGCAGGAGAAGGAAGAGGAGAAGGAGGAGGAGGAAGAAGAAGAAGAGGAGGCGGTGGGAGGTCTGCAGAGACGAGAAAGAAAGGAAGGAAGAGAAGGGAAAGAAAGGGGAAGGGCGAAACATCCAGATGAAAGTGCGAAAGCCAAAAGCAGAGGACACGAAAGGCGGATTCGGCCTGGCTGCAAGCCCACCCGGTGGGGAAACCCTTCTCTTTCTTCTCCCCGGAGACCTTGACTAGCCACCCCCATGGCAGGACCTCTCCTGGAGGGCTTCTCATGAAGGTCCACCACACTCCAGAAAGCCCAGAGCAGGAGGCCTTCCTCCTCCTTCCCTCCCATCTCGGGGGTGAAAAACTCCCCGGCTTTTTCCCAGGATTGACGAAGCCGCAGGGCGTCTGCTGGGTAGCCCCGTCATTCAGGTTTCAGGTTTGTGGGGAGAATGGCCAGACTGAGGTTGGAGAGAGAGAGAGACACCCGTCCCTCGCTCTCGCTCTCTTCACACGCCCACATCTGCAAGGCCTGGGCTGTGGAAGCCAAGAGGAGTCTGATGAACCGCTACAAGCCAGCTGTCCCCGGAGAAACAAGAGGGGGGGGGAGGGAGGGGGCCCTCTGGCCCCGCTTTCTGGACCGCTGTTGTCCGAAAGAAGTGAGCCGAGAGGGCGGCCAGATCTCTTGAGCTGCTTCCCAGGGGTGAAGGAATGAACAAACAAACATATACACACCCCGCACACATCTGTCTGGGCTTGCGGACCAGAGAGCAGCAGCGAAATGAAAAATTGGGGACAGGGGGGAGGAAGCAGAAAGAGCCGGGTTCAAGAGAGGGCAACGGTGTCCGAAAAGAGCCACTTTCTGAGCTCCGCCAGGGAGCGGATTTTTTTCCTCCCGCACGGGACTTAAGCAGAAGAAGTCTGAGCCCGCCTAGCAAATCTCCCAGCTGCCGGCTCTGAAGGCAGCAAGGGTAGCTGTAGTCCGAGGCTTCTCGGAGGGAGATCCCCTGCACCGGAGGCCTTAATCCTGGAAGCAAACGTGGCCTGTTTGGTATTTTCCAGCAGCGGGAAGGCCTCAAAGAGCGAGGAGCACATTTCTTCCTCCCTCGCCAGAAGGCTGTTCTTGGCGAGAAGGGAGGAAGAAAAGCCATCTGCTAGAACGCTCTCAAAAAAACAGGCAGGAATCGGCCCCGGGGACCCTTCCAGACAGACCGGGCCTGCAGCCCTTCCCATCCACGCCTCCGGATGGTCTGCGCCGTCGGCTGCCAGAGAGTCTTGCACGTTAGACCGGCTTTGGCCTCGGCTCCCGAGAAGCCCTGGAATAAACCAGCCCTTCCCGGCATCCTCTGCGGCTCTGCAAACCACCAACCCGGATCCCAGAGATTTGGAGCGGGGCGCGAGGGGCCTCGTCCCACAATCGGGACGCTTTGGCCAAGGGACGGAGTTCCGGAGGCCCTTGGAGAACCAGGTGGGGAACCCCACCTGTCTCGCCAGCCACCGAGATCTCGGCTGGGTCCCCAATCCGACCGCCAGCCCGGCACGCACTCACCTGTAGAGAAAGGAGACTGGCTGGAGCTGTCGATGGACCCGCTGCCCATTTCTCCACTGCTATACTCATCTGCAACAACCAGAAGGTCAGTGGGCAGCAAAGGGGGCACCTGAAGCGGCTCGATATCCCTCCCCGGCTCATCCTCTCCTTCTCCCCGGCTCATCCTCCTCTTCCGGGCTCACCTCCAGACGGCCCTCCAGCCTTGAGATCCTCATCGTCAAAAGTGCTATCGTAATCCTTCCGGAACCAGTGCGTGATCTCCGACTCGGTGTCCTCTGGGAAGGAGGCCTCGTCCAGTCGGCTGGAGGCCTGAGCTACCTGCAAAAGAGAGGAGGAGGATTGGGGTTCTCTCGCTACCTCGTCTCACCTCCTTCCTGCCCGCATCCCAATCAAGCATCTCAGGCCTCCTCCTGCCTCCCGATGCCCGAATCCTGCTTGAAAGATGCTGAGCAGAGCGCAAAGCTCCTTCCCACTCCTTCACACACACACACGCACACCCGGGCTGGTTTAGCGGGTTGCAACCCCGGGTGCCATGGAGTGAAAACACCTCCCCGCCTAGAGAAACAGCATCTAGTAGGATTACGGCCACTTCACCGCCTTGGCAAGAGCCCAAACTGGCAGACTTCAAGGAGGGCTTGTTCTGAAGGGGTGCGAGAGACCCATTGAGAGCGGAAGGAGAGGGTGCTCAAGGCGCTTTGGGGCGGAAAGGCGGATGCCGTGACTCCCCGGGGCTGGGACCTCAAGAGCTCATGCAAATAAGAAAGTCAAATATTGGGGAATTTGGCTAACAGCAAGCGTGATGACCCGGTGCGTAACGCAAACGTTAACAAAATCCAAAACGTAAATAAATACATTTTAATGCCTCCAACTTGGCCTCACCGTTCAATAATTCTCAGTTGGAGATGAAACTTATTCAAAAATTAAGTCTTCAAAAGAAAGCGATACAGTCCGAACTTAACGAGCAGATAGAGGTGAAATAAAAAAACCCCAAAGAAACTACGATGAAGGAATTTCCACAACGGACCAGGAGAAGTAATTACCAACTTCAAGGAGATAACAAGGCGCAGTCTGTTTGGAAGGATGCCAACCGTGGTAACTTCAGACCAAAATAAAACACACTTTGCTTCGGGCGTGGGGGGGGTTTCCCCTGTGACTCCTTCCGCTTTTAGCCTCCTCACCCCTGAATCTTTCTGCCTGCGGGTTTGGGGTAAAGAAGTTGTCAGCTATGATCCAGAGGTTTTGGGGGGCGGCTGGGGGGGGGGTGGCTTAAGAGCTACCTGCGTCCTCCATCGCCTCCTCAAGGGGACCCAGGTGAGGCAAAGCAGCCAGTCCCACCGGCCAGGCATTGGGCCGCCCGAAGGCTACAGACCGGGACAGGAATTTGTCAAAGCAGCATTTTCTTATGCAAACACGGCTGGCTACATTACTGCAGGCTGGCCGGGCCGGGGACAAAGGACTGAAGCTGCCGGCATAAAAGGGGATTTAACTGGACGGGGTGGCCTTCCTTTGTGAAAAGGAAGAGGGGAAGTAGGAGCTGGGGGGAAACCGTGGGGCCTGGGAAGGTGAGCCGGGCACCGTGCCAACCGGCCAGCATCAGTCTTGGTCCTCAGGGGGGGCTCTGCCTCATCCAAGGGGTTGTAAAGCTGGACAGCCAGCGGCCTTTGGCCTGGCCAGGAGAGAGCTGGCCCTGGGCATTGCCCGCCAGATGGGGGAGGGGGCACGGGTGGAGGGAGACACCCATCGGAGGGGGAGGTCCACCTTCCCCGAGGGAAGACGAGGGAAATCCCCGCCAAGCCAAGAGAGAAGAGGGTGCCCGGTGCTGCCCAAAAGCTCTTGGGCACAGAAGGGTGGAATTTGGGGGTTGTCTGAACTGCACGGAATCTTAGCTAGGGGCTCTCCAGAACCTCTGCGAACCCCACAGCAGCCCCCATCCCTGCACAAAGCCCCCAACCAGGGAAAATCCTTCGTGGAAAGGCAGAGGGGGCTCATCCCCGGGAAGACAGAAGCCACCGGTGGGGGCCCGAGCACGCGGCATTCGGTCCCCCGAGCCTCTCCTGGGTGGAAGTGAAGAAGAGCCAACCTCAAATGCTGGTGCAATGAGTGCTGACCTCTCCCAATTGGAGGGCAGGAAAGCTGGACTGGACAAGGAGGTGCCTGGAAGGTATCTTCTAGATGAACCGAGTTGGAAGGGACCTTGAAGGTCATCCAGCCCAGCCCCCTGCCCAAGCAGAAGACTCTACACCGCTTCTGACAAGATGGCGGTCCCAATCTCTCTCCCCCTCTCTGGGGGAAGGGAGCAATTCTGCTCCCCCAAATAACCCCCCCCTCCCCCAAATGAACACATCCAAGAGTCCTCCCTCCGTTTGCAAAGGCCTTTTCCACTTCTTAGCCAGCCCGGGACCTCCAGTTATCTGCTCCCAGCCTCCACCCACCCACCCAAAATCATGAGACGCTAAACGAGTCACTAGTCAGCCACCGACACCCGCTAAACACAGCAGCAGGGGCAGTAACTAAATTCCCCTCCCCAAAAATTAAATCCAGAAGCCGAGTTCGCTCGGAGGCACCGTTCCGGGATTGTTTACACCCCACTCTGGATTCCCAGCCAGGCCAGGCCGGAAAAAAAACACCCCCCCCCCTCTCTTCTCTTCTCTCCCCTCACTGCACCGACGGCCCGTTGCACCTGTCGCCAGAGCCAGGCCTGGATTGAAAACAGGGTCTATTTCAGACAAAGACTTCAGTCCAGCGACGAGACCAAACAGCGCAGGAAAAAATAGCTCACGATGGGGAGGAGGAATGGGGTGGGGGAGATGATCTCCTTGCACAGACCCAGAGGTGCCCACCCCCCAGCCCTGCTCCCGGGGGGGGGAAGGAGAGCCGAGCTGCCAATCAAGTCCTCCGCCAGCCACGCCGAGAAAGGCTGGCACAAGGCATTGGTGAAGCCAGGCAGGTACAGTCGTCCAGAGGACAAGATGGATCCCAGATGGACAGACACAGACAACCCCGCTTCCCCCCCCCCAAAAAAAAGGTGGGGGGGAGGAAAAGATTCTCAGGGTGGGGTTTATCCGAGGCACCCCCCCCTTTTGGGGGTTGTTGCTAAAACCAACCGGAGACGCCAACTCCCCAGACGAGCGAACGAACGTTCGCCGATCTGCGCAAAAGTTGTGCGAATGCAGCCGCTTCTGCGTTCGGCTGACCTGGAGATTCGGAGGGGAAAGGGTGGCGCGCGATGGATTGGTGCTTTGGGCGAACGTCGTGGGATGGGGGGGGCAGGGATGCCCTCTTTCTTGCCCTCCAGACCCCCCCCCTCTCTCTCTACCAGATCCACCCCGCCCATCCTGCCTAGTGCCCGGGCGGCTCAGGATGCCAACCCCGTCACCCTGCCCTGTGCGGCCATCACCCTAGGCGGCTTCCTGAGTCTGCTTGGAAATTCCAACGTGTGAAGAGGAACAGCCGGCCTCTTTTGGCACCGGGTGGGAAAGGAGGAGCGGGGAGAAAGGCAGCTGCTGGCGGGGCAGAACCAACAGCTAGCGGGGCAGGCAAGCAGGTAGGCCGCCGCTTCTCTGCTGGGCAACGCCTCCCGCGGCTGGCAGGGGAACATCTGGGCACAGGGAGGAACGCACGCACACACGGCACTGCCTCCTCCCTGCAGCTCAGGCGGCGAGGCGGGGCCGATCCTCTGGCTGCCAACGCCCTCGGGGGGGGGCGGGGGGGGGGGGGCCCTGCGTGGCGCACGGGGGGCCCAAAACCGCCGGGCTGGCGGAGAAGCGGAAGGGCCCTTGCAACACGGGGGGAGGGCCCTTGGGTTGTGTTTTTTGGGGGGGGGGGGTTATTTAGGGGGGGGGCAGAATTACTCCCTTCCCCTCAGAGAGGGGAGAGAGAGATTGGGACCGCCATCTTGTCAGAAGTGGTGTAGAGCTTCCTGCTTGGGCAAGGGGTTGGGCTGGATGGCCTTCAAGGGCCCCCTTCCAACTCGGTTCACCTAAAAAAGGTGGCAGGATTGGAACTGGGACTCCTGGAAGTCGGGGGAATAAGGCACACTTGGATTAAAGTTGTGGGGTTTGCCCCGACCTGTGGTCCCCCTCATCGAGGTTGGCTAAGCAAGGAAAGGACCCCCACCCCGTTATGGGGAAGCCTCTGTCCCCAAATTTGATGCCGGAGCAAGTCCAGGTGTTTCAGGCTTACAAATCCCATCATCCCCGACGCCCAGCCGAGCACAACAAAACCCCCTCCCTTCCCCATGCTTGAAGCTACATTTCCCCCTCCCCAAACAATGGCCACCTCTTCCCGCAACACGGGGACACTATTTAAAGCACGGGTGGCCTTGAGCCGTTTCCTCAAATTGTCCTGCGAGGAGAGAAACCTTGCGGGAAACACGTCCAGCCGCTTAAAAGCTCCCAGTTCCTTCCTCTTTCCCCCCCCCATCGCCTCCCCCCTCCCCATAAGTCTCTCCCCAGCCTTCCGCTCCTGCTCCCAAATGTGTCCCAAAGGAGAATGGGGTCCAGCGCTTTGGCCGTGGGAAAGTCAGAAGGCTTCTCGGGTGATGGTTGCAGGGATGGCCCTGGGGGGGTGGGGCAGGGGGGGGCGTTAGGTAAGCAGGGCCTTTTGGGAGGCGGCTCCAAATACCAACGTCTTCAAACAATCACCGTTGGGACCAAGAAGCCATTTCTATAAATAAGGCAGCAGACATACCAAATCTAGAACTTCCAGGCTCCTGGTGATTGGCCCAAAGTCACCCAGTTGGCTCTCAGACATAAGGCGGGACTAGAACTTCCAGGCTCCTGGTGATTGGCCCAAAGTCACCCAGCCGGCTTTCATGCCTAAGGCAGGACTAGAACTTCCAGACTCCTGGTGATTGGCTTAAAGTCACCCAGTCGGATTTCATGCCTAAGGCAGGACTAGAACTTCCAGATTCCTGGTGATTGGCTTAAAGTCACCCAGCTGGCTTTCATGCCTAAGGCGGGACTAGAACTTCCAGGCTCCTGGTGATTGGCCCAAAGTC